AAGACAACACAGTTCCACACACCTTGAAATGCACCATGGAAACAAGAAAATGCAATACCAGCCACAGAGCTTTCAAAAATAAAAATAGCAATTTTAGTGCCTGGTCGCACCCAATTTTACCTTATTTTGCATGAATTTTTTTTACTGTATGACAAGCAGGGACCATTGAAAGAACATGATGTTGCAGAGTAATTTCTCATGAGGGGTAATACAATGTTAGCTTTTAAACTACACGTGTCACCACACCAGTGTGTCCGTCTGTCAGATCTGTCAAAAGGGTGTCATGCTCTTCAACACAACTGATTTCAAATGGTGCTAGAAAATTTGTTCTGACTCAGAACACCAGAGGAAATCAGTCACATTGAGAAAGCCCAGGGGTCTGTCACGTCTGCCCTCCCACACTGGAAAACTAGAGAATATTCAATTACATAGCGATGATCAAACAAGAGACCTTCTCTTAAACTGTAATTTGAAATGTATTATCAATTATGAAACAAACTCTATAAAATAATAACTATCCATCCTCTGCCATCTAAAAGCAGTTGTGGCATTGAGAGATCAGAGACGAGGCAGACCCCGTATTGCAGGAGAATGATTTAATGTTAATAAAGCCGGGTGCTTATGTTCTTATGTGCATCAAAATCCGAAGGGACAAGACAGGCGGATGGTCGGGTTGATCGTGGGAGGTCAGAAGCCGGGCTGGTCAATCCTATAAACAGAGACGAGACGAGGAGATGATGGAACAGGAAGGCGGACGACGGCAGACCAGGACGGCAGGGCAGGGCAGGCAAGCAGGGCAGGCAGGATCGGGCAGGCAGGCAGGCGGGGATGATCAGGGAAGCAGAGCAGGCACGACAGCAAGATATGACGAGGCAGGCAGGGCAGGAGGGTTAGACACAAGACAGAAAAGCACTCGGTAAGTGTCATGGGTATGGCAACAATACTTTGCAACCTTTGGAGCTTGCTTTGGGGTTTAGTAGCTTGGTTAGATTGCAATGATTGACCGTCGCTGTGCGGCCCCGCCCCTGTGGGCGTGACAGCAGTCCTCCCGACCCCCCTGCTAGAGATAATTTGTGTCTTAGACTGCGTCCCTAAAAGAGGATTGGCTGTCTGTTTACCCTACAGTAGACCTTAATATTGATCAGTGCATGTGGAGCTCAGAAGAAAGTACATCTGGAATGTTCCTTAACGCAGCCTTCAAGGTGTCTTACTCCACTTCTCCAAAGATGCCGGTGAAAGCCAGTGCTTTCTTCCTGAACATGGGGTCTGCGTTCCCCAGGGGTTTGGCAATAGCAGACTCTTTGTTACCCTCCCAGCACCCACCAAACCCAAACCTCAGCCACATATTCTGTTCTGGAAGAAGTGGTGGCTGGTGAGGGGGAAGGGGGGTCAGAGGACGCTATAGCTTGTCATAACAGCTTAGCCACGGGTGGCTGCTGCTGAAAGGGGGTCCACTGGATGTCAGCATGGAGGCTGGATCCAGAGAAGAGGAGAATGGTACAATGAAGGGAAGATATAAGGCGGCTTCTCCTGACACGCACAAGGGCATGGTGCCCATGTGGCAGTGCCAGGGACGCCCAGCGCACGTATATATACATGTCTAAGCAGAGTTCAAAAGAACCTCTGTACACACACGTCTGTCTGCGAGGCTCTCCCAGCACACCAGCTTACGTCACCGACCAGCCTGCAGCTCAACTCAAAGAGGCTCATCCACACATGGCACACACCCTATTAAAGTAGCAGCACAACAACGTGCGGACATGGCCAAACCACCTGCACTGGCAAGCTGGGGGGGGGCGTGGGCCTGTCACAAAGGAGGGGACCCACCAAATGGCTCAGTGCATTAATGGCTCCTGAGTCAGTCACAAATTGACAGCACATGTGTCCCAGATACAGGCTGGGCAAACGGACTCTCGCGTATGAGTGTATACAGGTACGCATGATCTGGCATCTAAAAGCAGCCTCTCTGACACAAAAAAACAGGATATGCCCCGCATGACTGTCACACAAATAATGCTCCTAATTAAAGTTGCCATGGGTTCCATTGTTGCCAAGAGCCTATCAGAAAGCACCATGGCCAGGACCAAAAAGCTATTTGTAACAGACGTCCTTTTACATGCACCTTATGTACAAGGAGGTGAAGGCCAGGGGAATAGATAAAAATACCAAATTAAGGATGTGGCATTTTCCCAATAAACCTACTTAGCATAAGAGATTTAGGAAGCATTTCTGACAGTATAGCAAAATATGGAAGATAGTGGTGATGTACTTGAGAGATTTTGATCTCATTTCCACACAGTTTGTGTGTCTGCTGGTATTTCCTATGATTCTTGTGAGATGTCAACAGTAAATGGGCAGGTGTTATACATAAATTTTTATATTTTAATTCAAGAGGGAAATTAATAATTCATAGTTCAGTTGCTCAATTTACCATGCAATATCTCTATCAGTCAATAAGTATTTAGGGCATCATTAGCTAAGGAAACGGGTGATTGCAGTGAGGCCCGGCAAACAGCACACTGTACCAGTGGCACAGAACAACAGGAGTGTGGACATGAACAACAGGGAATACCAGTGACCTTCCTGAGGAACTCAGCCACACACACAGTAAGTACAGTGTAATTCCACACAGTAAACCCCAGGTGGACACACCGTGGAGTATCCTGCAGACATAAGATGGAAGGGAAGCAGCTCCCCGTGGACAGGAGCACTACACTGATAGGCGTGCTTAGGACACACCAGCACTGTGCCTCATTCATCCGCCTCCTTACTTTCCTACTGAGTCCTGGACGTCTCAGTTTGGACAGAGACAAACAGCTGCACACAGCCTGAATACAAGCTACTCTCCTTGGAGAATAACCTGTAATGGACGTCCTGAAGTTGAGTCTGCGGCACGTCACCCAGGTGGAGGCAGAGCTCGCTCCTCACACAAACAAAGCTGTACTTATAATTACAACCATAAGCCAGGCTCACACAAAGCTCAGTCTCCAGTTAAAAAAAGCACATCCACTGAATTTAACTATAAAAACAACAAAATAGTTATTCAGTGTTAGATAAATCCAAGTTTTCTACAATTTAATTGCATTACTTGCTGATACAACTGTTTGATACAAACGTGGACTGGAGCAATACTCTAAGAAGTCAAATGTGGGTGTATGCCTTACCTTTCTGGAGGGGCTCAGAATGATATGGACCTACCTTTTAAACTGTGAGCTGGTTACTCCAGTGCTTTGGTTTGTCCAGTGTGATGCACTATCCCAGGAGAAGGAAACCAAGCAGGGGGAAGATCAGAAAGAGGGGCTGATCCACGCCAGCACTAGCCATGTGGCAGCTAGGCCTAAGATGCCCTGGTATAGTGTGAGATGAATGTGTGTGCATATGTGTGTGTATGTGCATGCATGTGTGTGTGTGTGTGCAACAAAGAGTGAGAGAGAGAGAGTGAGAGAGAGAAGCAAGTCCATGCGGGTATGGACCATGTGGCAGCTTGGCTGTCTGGCAGGTTCTCTGACAAGGCTAAGAGGGAGAAAACCCGCCTGCTCCCAAGCCCCCACTACCCACCCCCATTCCCACCCCATCTCACTGTCTCCGCCCTGCCCCCTGCACCAACTCATAATAGTCTCATTACACAGATTACACACATACACAAAGAAGAAGGCAGAGGGAGAGAGAGAGGGAGAGAGAGAGAATAGATTTCATTAATCTTGGTTTGGCCTACAATGGATTTTCAGTGGATTGAATTCGAATTTAAATAAATGTGATGACAGCAGACAGACAGAAAATCAGCTATTTCCGACACAGCGTGTATGTCATGAAACCAACAGCGGTGATGGTGCAACTGAACGTCACATAAACATAAAATGATGTGGTTTATATGGTGTGAAACTAAGGCATGTCAAAAGCTCATTTCAAAAAAGAACAAATTTCTCCCTTAAAATGTGTTGCCAAATGACATACTTTTTACTAACATATATTATTAGCCTGGCTTGACATACTGTATATCATTAACTGGGACTCTCCCATCTTAGTTGAGGTGTCTGTTAATGACAACGTCAATGACAGGCTTTCTCCCACTAGTTGAGTCATATGTACAGTCACGTGTTTGGAGCTCAGTGAGGGGACTATGGGTTTAAGAATCAATAGGTGGATTCTCAGGTTGCACAAAAAACAAACCTGTATTGGGAACTTGTAGAACATGCTGCTGGAAGTGTTCTCTCTCTAGCTGAGTCACCAAGCATCTATAATCATCCAAACATCATAAAGAGGACTAGGTTTTTAATCTCTACACCAGTGTTTCCCATCGTGGTCCTCGGGGACCCACAGACGGTCCAAGTTTTTGCTCCCACCCAGTCAAACAGGCCACATTTTTGCTCCATCCCAGCTCCCGATAGCAAAAACATAGACTGTCTATGGGTCCCTGAGGACCAGATTGGGAAACATTGCTGTACACATTATGTTTCCTCTCTACTGGTTACCTGATGCCCTGCTATGCTGGAGATATCATCAGCCTTGATTTAGTGAATAGGCATAATATAGTAATGTTAGCTTCTCATTTGGTCAAGTGGCCTTTCACACTAGGCTTTGTCTGTCAGTTATTTCTGTGGTGCTCCCTTCATACTAAATGGGGACAAGGAGGAACATGAGGACTGGGTAGACCATGAACTTTTATTGCAGAAATTCTTCATCACACAAAGGACAGCTAACAGTGCCAATGTAATCAATGGCTATTGGTAAAGGTTAATACATTATATTAGACAGGCTTTGAGTATCACTGCACCCTTCAGGTAAAGCTGTGAATCTCTCCATTCTAGGTATTGAGATGTTTTTACATGATAAATCAGATCAGTGCTTCATGAAATCATTGGAAGGCGAGATATCCCACAATGGTGAGCCTCAGGACTACTTGATTCCTGCCACCATGTGGATCCACCAATTAGCCTGCACAGTCCAACCCAGCTGTTCACATTGATCAATCTGCTGCAGGAAGTGGTCGCGGGCCACTTCCTCGTTCTGGTTGTCCTGGAGTGCCTGTCGCAAATACTGCATGTCCTGTGCGCAGCTGAGCTCAGGGATACCCGTGAGCAGCATGAGGGAGAAGAGGGTGACCAGCAAACGGGTGTGGGTCCGTAGAGCTAAGTATGCTTCGATACAGGTTTTCTGGAAGGTTGATGGTGATACGTTAAGACAAATAACATTTCATGGGAAAAGATTGGAAGTGTTTCATCCAGCCCAGACACACTTAAATTCAAATGCAATAAATTTCCGTTATTGTGAAATGTAGTACTGTTTCGTAATAGTTCTAACTCGCGCATTTACGCATGCAAGCATAATATCTCTATTAAGAACAATGATTAATTGTCAACATGCGAAGATCAAATATTCCTCACCTTGAACCTCTGGAAATACAGGCTGGACTTCTTGGGCACCCTGCCCATGACATACAGGAAGTCAGGCGTGAGAACAAAAGGAACTCTCTCTCTGTTCACACCAAGGAAGCGCTTGGTGTTCCCCAGGATGTGTCCGAAGTCAATGTGGAAAAGGTTTCCTTTGGAACAAACAGTTTTTCCCTTTATTAAATTACTCAGTAAGTACATGCTTTATCCAATAATTGTTTGAATGTATTTCAGTCAATGTATTTATTAGAGACACAAAAAACAAATAAACCCCTAAAGTTCAATGTAATGCTCATCAGCTTACATATACAATTCATGTAGCACAAAGCTGAGAGAAAAAGTGTTGCCCGAGGAATTTCATTGAGAGAATCTTAAACAATTAATTGTGAGTTATGAAAAGCAGGCTCCAGAGCTACAACTAATTGATAAAATACAGTGCCATACTTAATAAAAATGCAGGATTGTAGTGAATATTTTTACTGTTTTATTGCTTAGATTTCATCTACGATTTTTTATTTTTCTAAATTTGTTTTCCTGGATGTGGCAACAAGGTATACAAATAAGATGCATCTTTCTGCTGGCCTGAGCCCAACCAAGCCTACAACACACAAATGAATCACACCCAAAGCTGTGCTTTAGGCAATTCTGTGTGTTTATACCCATCCATCCATCCATCCATTGTCCAACCCGCTTATCCTACTGGGTTGCGGGGGGTCCGGAGCCTATCCCGGAAGCAATGGGCACGAGGCAGGAAACAACCCTGGATGGGGGGCCAGCCCATCGCAGGGCACACTCACACACCATTCACTCACACATGCACACCTGAGGGCAGTTTAGCAACTCCAATTAGCCTCCAATTAACCCCACGACGACATGGGGAGAACCAAGGGCGTAGATTTGCTCTGGACATTGGTGGGGACCTATGACTCCACCCTCCCCCCATCCCCTGCCCCACCCACCAACCCCGCCACCCCAACTCCGTCCCCGGAATGCATGTTTTTTTAATATGCTGCAAAATGCAAAATCACTTTACATTAATACTAGCAATGCTTTGATTGATAATAATCCACTCGAAATGCAATTCATTAAGTTAAATTAAGGAATAGTGTAATGTCAAAACCCCACTAGCATTAACGTTAACTGTTGTCGTTACTTTGATGGACTTTGATGGATTCACTAACGAACTTGAAGTGACTTACACTTTTCTTTGAAAAAAAGCTCCTTATGTCCAGCTTCTTTTTTTTTGCTGCCGCCATCCTCACATGTGTCACCCAACACACCTTCTTGCACGGGGAAAAAAATCCACTGCATTTGGCGCTGCTTGTATCTGAACGCAGCCACAGCCTCTCACATGATAGCAGGGAAATGCACAGCCAATCAAAATGTTCATATGTGTTTTGGGGGCGGGAGGACTCAAAGAGAGAACGTGATTTATCCCTTTCTGCGTGTCTAGGTTAATGTTGACAGCACGATTGTTTTTTTTTTTTTTAAGTGGATTAAATTATTGGTGGGGACATTTCAATGGTCGGAGGATATTGGTGGGGACACATCCCCTCCGTCCACCCTAAATCTACGCCCCTGGGGAGAACATGCAAACTCCACACAATTGTGATCCAAGCGGAGACTCAAACCCAAGTCCCAGAGGCGTGAGGCAACAGTGCTAACCACTACATCACTATGCCACCCGTGTTTAATATAATCTGAATAATATTTTCTGATGATCTGTGTTGTTCCTGAGAATAATAGCCCTAGGACTGTCATGTGATTCATAAACACAGGTTCACCAATGATGGAAACAGTGGATAGGTCTTAGCACAGCAGTAATAACTTCACTTCCAGCAACCTGCAGTATGTTCTGTTGTCTCATATGTCTGGCCCATAAACAATTATCAGTGCTCTTGCTAGAATATTAATTGGATGATTATTGGCACCTGTGACTGGTGGGTCATTTAAATCCTTGTTCCTTCATTTTAGGCGCAAAGTCATTTGTTGTTTCAAAACTACAGTCTGAGCATTAGATGTGGTTTACGTCTTTTCCTGTGTTTGTGTATTCCACCTTGAGTTCCCCTTCTTTGCTCTGGTTGAGCCCGATTGACCTCCCTACCAACTATGAGTACTGGATTTGTGTTTTGCACTCATGCCAATGAACTCCACTCCTGAACTGGTATCTGCTGAAAACCTTCCTTTGTACCAGGGTTGTCCCTTTACCTTGCTCCGTGATCATGATGTTGTCATTGTGTCGATCGCCTATCCCCAGCACATAGGTGGCTACACAGTAGCCAGCACAGGAAGTGACAAACCTTTCCATGGCCTGGTAGTGCTGTGGGTGAGAGTGAACAGATGAACAGAAGAAGGTAAGTGAACATCAGCATATGAGGAATACATATCAAATGGCTGGGATTCTTCCAGAATGACTAGATTAAAGAGTGATGAAGAATTCATTATTAAAGGAAGAAGAATCCATCTTCCTTAACCCCTCATTCAGTACACGCAGGGGCAGTAAAGGACTTAAGGACGTGCACCATACTATTTCCTGTAGCTGGCTCCTCCCCTTGAGCCACTCAAGCAGGGCATCGTTTTTGAACGCTCCCGTGTTTCCTCCTCTGCTTCTCTGCACGGCGGCAATGGTGACTGCATCCCTCACAATTTCAATCAAACCTGAGGCATAGGAGGACACTGCCTTGCACATTTGGCAAACAAGAAAAAATTAACTCGCACTTTTCTGCAGTTGTGTGGTCATTCAGGGCTATCTCATGATGCTTCTGATGTGTTGCATGGCAACATTGGTGGCACTCAAACTGAATGTTAAGCTAATCTGTATCGCAGTCCTTTGCTTGTCTTCTGCCTAATCATGTACAGAGTAACTTGCATACCAATAGGATAACTCACATTTAATAAATGCTTCTAGTAACCGTCTCTGGAAAGATAAGTAAACCACGTGACTTACCTATGTTATGGCCAGTAGAAATGCAGCCATAGGGTACCAGATTCAGATTTAAAGATTTTTCCTGCCAAACTGAATCCATCAATATGAGGGTCTGGAGGATAAAACCCAAAAGATTAATAGCTACAGGCAGGTGAACTATAAGGCAGACAGAAAAGCCATAAGAACAAAGGGTGTCAGCAATAGCATCAGAAGTACAAAGGATATTGGTTTGTCGAGTATGAGATAGATGGGATTGTTCATGCAGTATGAGAACTTAAACAATGAACTTTGCTATTCTATACCCCGTCATTCCAAAAATGCCAACTTTATCTCATGTAAGAACAATGAATAGCAGCCTATTGACTGGGGGAAAAAGAATATTTATCTGCTGTTTTTTAAAGAATAAATGATAACACTTTGCTTGAGGGGCCACAAATAACTTACTCAGTTACTACTGAAGGACAAAAAATGCACTAATATAGTTCCTGCATGAAATACATTAATAGTTATGATAAATAATAAATGAACATGCGATCAGTACACAACTAACACTTTACTAGTTAATTAATGTAATAGGTAACAGTATACTACTACATTATTAGTGTTCCCAGTACGGTGTTCATTTTAGGACATCCTCAGGTCTTATGAAAAAAACCGTCAGACTTCAGACAAAACGGCATCAGACATCGAACTCAGGCAAAACGGACTCGGGTGTCAGGAAAAAAACCGTCAGACTTCAGACAAAACGGCATCAGAACAAACGGACTCAGACAAAACGGACTCGGACAAAACGGCATCAGAAAAAGCTTAATTTTTTTTTTTTTTATACATTTAATATAAAAATGTAGAAATATTATTGTTTGCTATTTTCCTTAGATTTATTTTTTTTCCTGACATTTGTTCAAGATGTCATCTGGCAAGGAATGCTCCAACTATGGCAGTTTGACACTGGCTTTGTTTGAAGCTGTTATCACAGTGTAAAATCTAGTAGTCTGATAGCAGAGGTGGAAAGAGTGCTGAAAAATCCTACTGTCACTACCTGTATATATTATTATTATATGATGTAAAGTTACTAGTCCACTAAGTTATTGAGAAGAAAAGTAGCCTTTTGAAAAAATGTTGAAATAAAAAACATTTGTCTTACTTATGTGGTAATTATTTTTAATTTTTAATTTGGGGTGTAATT